GTGTGTGCATGTGTGTGTGTGCATGTGTGTGTGTGTGTGTGCATGTGTGTGTGTGCGTGTGTGTGTGTGTGTGTGTGTGTCTGTGTACTGATTAGAAAAAGTTACTTGCTTAGGGTAGAAAAATGTGCCTCCCTTTGTCTGATGAAATTTAAATTTTGGGCAGATGGCTTGGTACACAAACCCTAGGTAAGATTACGCTTTTTTTCTTTTTTTCTTTTCTTTTTTTTTTCTTTCTCTCCTTCTTCTCCTTCTCTTTCCCCTTCTCTTTCTCCTTCTCCTCCTTCTTCTTTCTTCTTTCTTCTTCTTCTCTTCCCCCTCCCCCTCCATCTCCTCTTCCTCCTCTTCTTCCTCTTCTTCTTCTTCTTCCTTCTTCCTCTTCCTCTTCTTCACCTTCCTGCCTTCCTTCCTTCCCTCCTTCTTTTCATTCATTTTCTAACTTTTTTTCTTTGAGAAAGGATTTTGCAAACTTGCTGTGTAGTCCAGTTGGCACTGAATTTGCAATCCTCTCGCCATAACCTGGTGCTAGGATTACAAATATATGCCAGCAAGGGATTGCAGACTTTTTCATGCCCCCTCTGGTATGTGCCTTGTGCAAGGGTGGGGAAGCTACAGTACAAGGAGAGTATGGCATCTGATAGGATCTCCCTTGAGTGGACCTCACTGGGCACCACAGGATTAAAGCACAACAACATCATATAATTGTGCAGAAAGACAACCTCCTCAGCTTGTCCTTGCTCTATCCCCACTTTTTGATCTTGAACACCTGGATATTGGCGCAAATGTTTCCAGCCAAACCCCTGCCCTGAAAGACTAGACCAGTTTCTATGCTTCTAGCAGTCCACAGCCATGGCCCCATGATGGCCCAGGCCGCCTTGAGTACAATCTTGAAAAGCTCAGGTCTGCCGAAGGAATTTATCATTTGTTCCAGCCAATGCCTGGCCATAAGCCCTTGATATTTCTTTCTTGAAGCATTTATTTATTTAAAAAATCATAGAATTGTAAATTCTTCCTCTGCCCCTTTGAGAAATATGTGTTTGTATCTCCTGTGATTCCAGATTGCCTTTTCTAAGAACTAAGAACCATTCCTTTGAATATAATCAGCAGGGAGGACAGGGCGACCTCTGTCTCCCAGACTCTCCCTGGGCACAGGCCAGTTAGCAGGTAAGGAGGGCCTCATCACACTGACATTGACTGGCTGCCCTACCACGTTTTGGTTAACTTTTCATTTCTCAAACTGCCCCATCCCAGATCACTTTCCTTTCCTGCTTCCTCATTTACCTGGTCATCTTTTCACAAATCTGAGTTGATCTCAACTACTGTAGTACTTACTGAATAGTACCTACCTTTGTCATCTTTAGTGTCTGGCTTTGTTTATCCTTGATAGCTCTTTTACCTAGTTCTTACCCTGAATTTTTCAATATCAAGCCATACAATTTGTTAGAATTTGATGTTACAGCATACATATTTTTATATATTGCTACCTAGTTTCCATAAGTATATATAATCACTGCATGTTATGTGTTATGTACCACAAGTTTGTTAGCCAAAAGCCCATTAATTTTTTCTTACTATAAAAGGACTACATGTTCATCATGGAAAATGAGAAAAATACAACAAACAAAATAAAAAGCACACATCTGGCAATCCCAATAGCCTGTCTTGCCTCTTTCTAATTGATCTCTAACTTTTTTTTATCTCCAATTTTTGATGTTAACATTTTCATGTGTATCCTCCTAGTCTAAGTATTCTGAACATATCTGTATAATTTAGTATAATTTTAGAAATTAAAGTGAGATCATACTTTTTAAACAGATGCCTTTTCTACTTAGCATTTTCCCATATCACTTCAGAAATATGATCTAAAGACCACACAGCATTCTATTACTGGATGCACCAACATGTGTTTAACAACTGTTTGTTTGTTTTTTGTTTTTGGTACTGGGAATTGAACTCACAACCTCACACTTGCCAGGCAGGTGTTGTGCTGCTGAGCTATATCCCAGGCCTTTCACAACTGTTTTACCATTGATCCCCTCCCTTTCCCTACCACCAATATTGCCCCTCCCGACAGACTGAAGTAGTCTTATATATCAATCTTTGCGTTCACCATTAATTTGTTCCTTTAGGTAAATTATAACTTATAAAGGGAGCATTTACGCTACTCATGGCTCAACTTCCTCTTCCTTTCAGCTGCTATGGAATCTCTTTCTTTCTTTTTTTTTTGAGACAGGGCCTCATTGTGTAGTCCAGGCTGACCTCAGACTCACAGCAATCCTCCTGCTTCAGCCTCCCAAGTGCTGCAATTACAGGCAAGTGCCACCACACCCAGATATGGCCTCATGCTTTCCCTTGTCTCTCTGATCACATCTAGGCTCCCCATGCAGGTCTTTTGTGATCCTATGAGATTTTGGCTGGGCCTGTGCTTTTCTCTTCTCCCTCCTTCTTTCTAAGTTCCATCATCCCAGTACCATCCCTATGTTGATGACTAGATAAACCTTTAGTCTGGGTATCACCCTTGAGCTTCATGCTAAGCATCTCACTATTTTCGACGGCCCCACCTGGTTAGCTCACAAGCACATAAAATTCAACAAAGACAAAATGAAATTCATGAGTGTACTTTCCCTCACCAAGTCCTCGTTCTGCAGTGATGTCTATTTTGGTAAATAGCACCAGCTTACCCAGTGGCTCGAGCAGACACATGGCCATTTTGCTTCTCTATTATGTTGCACATTTTGCCAGCTCCAGCTGAGTCTACTTTCTACCCATTAGCTCTAGAATTCATTAACTTCTCTTCATCCTGTTGGCTCTAGACCAGGGTGGCATCTCTTTGCTAATGTGTAAATGTGATTCTGTCTCTCTGAAACTTAAAACTTTTTAAATGAGTCACCACAGTCTCTGGCTTTGCTCCACACTCCTTACTATCACTGGCCAGGGCTTCTTAAAAAGAATAACTGGTCCTGCCTGAACCTTCAGCTTCAGTTCTTGACACCTCACACACTGCTGTGTGCCACTGGTCCACAGGCCAGCTCCACACTGTCTCTATCTGTCCCATCCACCACTGTCACAGCACAGGGTCTGTCTAGGAGAGTGCCTGGACTTACATTAATACATGTATCAATACTGGGAGAAAAGGTGTCAGTATAATATTTTCTGGAAGCTGAATATGTACTGACTGAGAAGCCGTGTAGTTAAGCTGATAGTCTACTCCCTAAAGTCTACAGTAATTCAGAACTTTAAGTCAGTTTCTTCACTCCAATAAATTGATTTCCTCAACTGCAAAATGAGGATAACAGTATCTACTTCAAATAGGTATTGTGAAGATCAAATAAGGGCTCATTTAAATATAATATTTAGCACCCGTGCTAGCAGTATTTTTTTAAGTGGCCCATTGTTATAGATCTAAAATGTCCCCCTAATTGATCATGTTTGTGGAAGGTAATTGAAACATGGTATCTCTGTACTCACGGGTGGGCTCATTCACTGATGAGTTCAGCGGCTGACTGAGCTGTAGGAGGCGGGGCCTGGCTGGAGGTGGTCACTAGGGGTGGGACATGGCAGAGTGTATTCTCGTCTCTGCTTCTCGTTTTTCTCTTTGCTTCCTGGCTGCCATGAGGTGAGTAGCTGTGCTCCGCTCAAACCCTCCACCACAGGTTTCTGGCTTGAAGACTACAGACCATGGACTGCAACTTCTGAAGTCATGAGCCAAAATAAGTCTCTCCTCCTTCAAGTTGCAGGTGCTGGGCCTTTTGTCTCAGAGACAGGAAAGTGACTGAGACACCCTTGTTGACTGCAGTAAGACAGCTGAAAAATGTGTCTTTCTTTGATTAAGAGCAATGTACCTATTATTAGACATTGATGGTGTTTGCATATTTTGGCTTTCTTTAAAGAACAACATGTTTCAATCACATCTTCACATGTATAACTTTTTTCTTCTTAAAATATTTCCATGGATAAGTTTATAGGAGTGATATTATGGGTAACATATTCACATTTCCATCACTTTTGATATGTATGGCCAGGTTGATGTCTAAAATATACAGACCACACCCTCTCATTTTATTTTTTATTTTTTTATTTTCTGGTCTTTTTTTTTTTTGACAGAGTCTCGCTATGCAGTTCAGGCGGGGCTTGAGCTCATTTTGTAGCCCAGGCTGGTCTCAAACTCGCAACGATCCTCCTGCCTCAGCCTCCCGAGTGCTGGGATTACAGGTGTGTGCCACCTTGCCTGGCTATATCTTCTCATTTTAGAATCCCTGTTTACATCTTGATTCTTCTACTTGTTTTTAATTAAAAAATGAACTGTATAGACCAAGCATCATGGTGCAAGCCTATGTAATTTCAGGACTTTGGGAGACTGAGGCAGGATTACAAGTTTGAGGGCAGCCTGAGGTAACTTAGCGAGTTAGTTAATAAGACCCTGTTTCAGAGGGAAAAAGGCATAATTCTGCTTTTCTGTCTATTCTCTTGTTGTTGGTTTACAGCTTTTTCTATTAATGTATAGTGGTTACACAGACTAATGAGTTTCACTTTGGCAGATTCACATATGCACATAGCATACTTTGATCATTTTCACCCATCTAAGGCCCCCCTTGCCCCACCCAACCTTCTAGTTTCACATTTTTGGAGAGGGCTTCAATTCATATAATGTATTTTGATCTTATCTATCTCCTCCATTGTCTACCCTTACACTCACTCCCCCTTACTCACTTTCTCTTGTCTAATAATAGTTCCTGTTTACCTTTTAAATCTTTTCTTAGATTCTACATATTAGGGAAAACATGCGATATTTGTCTTTTGAGTCTGGCTTTTTTTGCTCAACACAATGATCTCCAGATCCATCCATTCTCCTGAAAATGATGAATCATTGCTTTCTCTATGGCTGAATAATACTTCACTAAGTGCACACAATGTAGGGTGATCAAATGATATGGATGTTTCAATTAAAAAAATTTGTTACAGTGAAAGACACATTGCCTTTAATCCCCCTCAAACTACTCCCACTTGCCTCAGACGTGCTCATCTCGTCATTCTTGGCACTTTCTGAAGAAGTTCTGGAAGTCCTGTTTTGTGAGTGTCTTCTTAGGGTGTCATGAAAAAATATTGAATTTTTCTGCCAGTTGTCATCCAATGGAAAGGAAGGCCGGTAAAAACATTGCAGTGTATTCTCATCCATCTTATTCACTAGCTCTGGCATCGTTCAACTTCTGGGCCTTTCTATAAAGTCAAAATGATGGTGAACTTATCAAGGACATTGAACTTACTCAGGACATTGAGGCAGTCACAACAAGGTACCAAAGACACTTTTACTTTTTTGGGCTGGGGATTTAGCTCAGCGGCACAGCGCCTGCCTGGCAAGCACAAGGTCGTGAGTTTGATTCCTGGTACTGGAAACAAAACAAAACAAAACTTTTGGTTAATTTGGCTAAGGTTTTACTAACCTTATGTTTTCAAAGAACTGTCTTTTCACTTCAGTGATCCTGTGTATTATTCTCATTAATTTCAGCTCCGATCTTTATTATTTCTTTCTTTCTGTTTGGTTTAGTTTGGGTTTGTTAGTGTTCTTCTAACGTCTTGAGATGCATGATTAATTTATTTGAGATGTGATCTGTTGATGTGACACTCTAGCTATAAGCTTCACTCTTAGAACTGCCTTTATTGTATTTCCTTTTTCATTTGATTCCAGGAATTTTTACATTTCCTTCCTAATTTTTTCAATGACCCACTGATCATTCAAAAAAGTGAACTGTTCAATCTCCATGTGTTTGTATAGTTTCTACTGTTGATTTCTAATCTCATTCCATTATGATCTGATAAGATGCAAGAAATTATTTCTTTTTTAAAATTTGCTAAGGCTTGCTTCATGGCCTATTTTCTGGCCTTTACTTGGTATGGTGATAACAAATACCAGTAATTTATTTCTAGATTATTACAGTTACTAACTACCTTTCTCAGAGTACTATTAGAGACTTACTAAGATAATGTACGATATGTATAAAGTCACATCTACTAAATGAATATAATGTATCCTTTCTTTCCCTTCTCCTCCCTTCCTTCGCAAATGGTGTCTTGTTACATTGCCTAAGTTTTGCTCAAACAGTCTTCCTGAGTAGCTGTGATTACAGGCATGTACCACTTTGCCTGGCTATTATATTCTTTTTGTAGTCAGGGATTTGTGAGTCTTCATCAAATTCTAGGTACCTAAATTGTGAAGAACACTTGTTACGGTTGATACATTGTGTCAACTTGGGGAGCCTAGAGGTTTGGCTAAGTGACTCAGCAGGGCCTGGGGTGTTTACTTTGTACACATCCTGAGCCTGTGGAAGAGGAGGGTATGGAGATTATGTGAGTGCTACATGCCCCCTGGGTAGGGGTAGCCTGTTTACAATGTAAGGAAGGGAAAGAGGCTGCTTGCCCCCCCGCCTTTCCTTCCTTTTGCTCTTGTTGTTTTTGTTGTGTTCTGCCACCACGAACTGTTGCCCTCTGCCATGTGCCACTCTACCTTGGAGTCAGCAGAGTATGGACTGAAACCTCCACAAACTGTGAGCTTAACAAACCTTTCCCTCCTTATTTTATCCCAGCAAGGAGAGAAAAGTAACTAAGACAACACTGAATTCTGCAACACAGTTACCTGGTTCCATGGCAAAATCAAAGGATAACATGAATATATGGTTTAGGGTATAAGCTACAGATTTACTCTTTTTGTTTTTGTCTATATCAAAGTCATAGTTTTTAACTTTGATATAAGTTAGGATTGCACTTGTTTGCAAGCAACAGTGAAAAATGGAAGTATGGTCTGGAGCTGCTATAGAAACTCCATGACATCCTCATTGTCCCAGGTTTCCATCTCAGGCCTCTGGTACACTTAGATGAGTTTCATTCTCATGATCACAAAGTGGCTGTTCTGCCCCTAGGTTTAAGTCCCCCTTCCAGCCAGGAAGAAGGAAAGAGTACAAAAGGCAAAAAGTATATGCCAGTTGAAGCTGTCCTTTTTATTTGAAAGTCAAATACTTTTTTGGAAGCCATACCTAATAATTTGTTTATATCTCAATGGCTAAAATGACCATATGGCTATCCCAGCTGCACGAGGAGGAGGAGCCCAGGGGAGGAAAAGTTTCACCTGGCCTGTTGCCAACCTGAACAAAATTGGGTCTGTCCAAAAAAGGGAGAAAATGGATATTGACTAGGCAACTTCCTGTATTTGCCATGGATGTGAATCTGTCTGTACTTTTTTACTAGTAATATGAGGAGTACCACATGCTATTTCTGTTATACCCATGCTAAACACATTGGGGACTATGTCCTTAAACTTCAACCTCATGTTGAGATAGTCAGAGACCACTGTGGTTGGACAAAAGACTAAAATCTCAAAATAAACCCCTGGGCACAACAAATTATGACCATTGTAGCATGGCACATTTCAATATACTCATCATGAGACCCTAATAAAACCACAAAAGCAGAATGTTTGCATGAAATGAAAATTTTTTATCAATCTTCACTCCATCTTCACTTCTTTAGTCAATTTAAAATCACTAAATTCAGAAGTCACACAGCTGAACAATACACGATTACTTTCCCACTAGGTGTGCTGTAGATTACACCTCTGACATATGGGTTATGAAAAAAGTTGCATGGTACTTCCCATGAATTAATTAACAAATATGTAAGAAATGACTAATTTTTGTGCTCAAGATGTCAGTGGACTGGGTCTGAGGAAGTTCCTGCAGCTGAGGTGAGGAACATAACCCTGATGAGGTTTGCTGACTCCCATTGCAGAAACGGAATTTTCATGACTAGTCAGTAAAAAGCATGGGAAAGGTTTTATTAGGCAGAAATTAAAAGATCCACTCTCAAAGAAGTAGAATAAAGGCCCTCAGGAGAAAGAAGCACGCTACAGTGTAGAGCTTGGAATATTTGTAGGGTCTTGGGAGTGTCTTTGTAACTAAATTTTTGGGTGCTGGAGTCTCTTTCTGGAGTTGGTTTCTAGATACTTTCTGTCCTGAGTAAAGAATTGGCTAAGAGAAGTATAAGGCAGAAAGGTTTTACATTTATTAAAAGTAAAAAAGAAAGAAGAAGAAGAAGAACAGAAACATGCTCTTCAGACCAAGTGTGGGTAAACTGAAAGTAGGAAAAGTAGACTCTGCAGGGTGAAAGACCACTGTGAAGAGAGAGCACAATGGCCCAGAGCTCATGGTGGCCATCTTTGTATCTCCCACCCCTCAGGCTAAGGTCAGGTCTAGGCCTCCTATCAAAAACCTGCCCAAATTCTCACGATAAGAATTGAAGACAGCACTTTCTGATTGGTTCCATGTGCAGGGCTTTGGGAACAGTTCTGGGCATGTGTTTTGGAGCTTTGTAATTAATGTGTCACCCCTACTTCCCCAGCAGTCTTCCCACCCTTATCTCTTGCCTCACCTTCAAGATGGGTGATGTGGGCCCAGGATATAGCTCAGTGGCACAAGCACCTGCCTGGCAAGCACAAGGTCCTGAGTCTGATTCCCAGTACCAAAAAAAAAAAAAAAAAAAAAAGATGGGTGATGCATGATGTGTATTCCCACTGTTTGTCAGCCTACACCTTTGGCAGGCTATGTCAGAATGCAAGTCATCTACATGTGTTTGAAGTGAGATATGTCTCCCACTAGTATTGCTTCTTCCTTGAGGATGGAAGAAGTGCAATTTACTGGTGAAAATCTCAAGTTCAGAGCCCTGTGTCTTTAAAATCTTTAGCAAAAAATTTTTGAGTGAATTTCCTGAAAGGGAAAAAGGCTTGAGTAACTTTTGTGTCCTGAAGCTGCAGTTTTTCTTAAAAGTACAATTTTAAAAATTCCAATTTGCTTGTGCTTTTTCTGCAATTTTTTTTTTTTTTTTGTAATATCTTCTATCCTACCTGATTTCCCATGGGAGTATGCTCCTAAGGCATAATGTCAGGATTACTTGCTGTGTGATCATGGAAAAATTACTGTTTCTCTGTATGCTTCAGTCTCATTTAGGTAAACTGGGAGTAACATAAGTGTGTATTTGAAAGAGCAGTTATGAGAATTAAATGAATTAATTTCTACAAAGAAATAGAGTGCTTGGCAGTTATCAGTGATATAGAAAATGATATAGGACTTCCAAATATGATATGAAGGAAATAACTCCCAGCCTACTAGATGTCTGATATTCAGAGTTCATGTTCCCTCAAATCAAAGAATAAATTCTAAGGAATGATGTAAGTTAAGAGTAGGAAATATTTATTGAGAGGGAGAGATACAGCTCCTGACAGGCAGGAGGGGCTCTGAATGGGTTGCCAAGGACCTCAGTTCTCAGGGGAAGTTTTATGGAGCACAACCACATGGGTGCAACGTGGGTTACAGCTATGATCAACCAATGAAAAAGTGTAGTCACTTAGGTAATGTTGATCCAATGGAGAGGCAAGTCACATAGCAAGTGTACTGTATATGGGAAGAACAAAGAACTTTTCAGGAAGGGATGGGTCTGAGAGTCTTGGTCACCTACTGAGATGACTGATGTCTATCTAGACTTTGTTACACTAGGTGTTACCAGTTACCTCAGGTCTGGTCATTCCATTTTTATCTTGAGGAGTAGCCTCCAACAGATGTGCATCTGGCCTCAGTTGTAATGAGTTTTCATCTTTGCACTCACTCCCTAGTGGGCCTAACCTTATCTGACTGCCTGTATTTCTACCTAACTCAGCTGTCTATAACACTTTGGTTCCCTAAATTAGCTTAGTTGATTAGGCAAAAGGCAGAAACTGGGCCTTAAGAAATTCAATAGACTGGCCCCTGTGTTTTTCCTCTGAAATGGGCTATCCTTTCATCTGTAAAATGAGTCATTATCTTCCTTCCTGTGGGTGGGCCATTCTTCTCTCCTGTAAACCAAGACAGAACTTCTTATAGATTCACAAATTCCATAGGTTTTCCACCCCCTCAAGAAAAAAATATTGTCTTTCTTTTCTCCTTGCTAAGACAAACCTGACACACAAAGTTAACGGGGGAAATATTTATTTAGCTCAGTTTTCTGAGATCAGTCCATAAAAGGCTGCCTCCAAGGCAGGGTGGCTTGGAAGATGGCCATCAGAGAGGAGAAAAGTTGATGGCACCCACAAGATAGCAAAAGCAATAAGGGTCATTAACAGTGTTTTTCTGCCCCTTATATCTTATCCAAGCTGCTTAGGGTGGGAAGTATTCACATCCTTGATCCTAGTGCAACAAGAATCAATTCCAGCATCACATACTCTAGATCCAGCCACCTCTGAAAAAGCCCCACCTATGACTGCATGAAGCTTTGGGGGGACATCCAGACAGAAGCCATAGCAAACATATATAGTCCCAGTTCCAGAAACTAATGTGCCTCTCTCTTGAGGGCCCACACCCTATCTCTCTGAATGTGTACTTTACATTTCTACCTAATAAATCACTTTATGCCTTTTTCTGAGAAGTCCTGACGATTCTGAGAAGTCCTGACGATTCCTTTTCTGTAATGGAAATCAGGGAACTTGTAGCCTGTCCCATGGGTAGGGGTGAGTCAAGGTTCCCCAGCTCTGCTTTGGGGACCTCCTTGGACCCTACCTGGTGACTCAGGCATTTCAAACATTTTAAGGAGCATTTAATAGAAATATTCTTTAGAATATTTCTATTAATGAACTATTAATTTTAGTTTTATAAGTTTTATTATATTAAACAGTGAGTACCTAACAGGAAAAAAATCACAAAAATAAAGTATTGAATTTTAAATATCTAATGGGGTTTATAAAAAAAGCATCAAAAATTTGAACATTGACTTTTTTGGTGTACAAAGTCTAAAAAAGAACAACACAAATAAATTCTTATGAACTATACTGAAAATACCAATAGCACTTTACAAAAAAATAATCTTCACTTCAACTATCACACCTAAGGCAGACTACACTCATGATAATAGCACATTCCATACACATGTATTGCTTACACTGATAGCACATACATTTTGCTTTCCTAGTTTTTTGTAGAACGCACTTAACATCTCGCTGGTCTTACTGTTTTGGCAGGAGGTTCTTATTACATTATTCAATTTGTAGTTAACAGGAACATAAAATATCAATAAAATCCAGTATTACATTCTTAATATGTATTGTGCATTTAGAATAGATATCAACATTTTCACATCAGCTATGTACTTGCTTATAAAAGTCTAAAAGATAACAGTAGAAATAAATTCCTATATGAACTACCATGAAAATACCAATAGAATGCTACAACAAAAATAATCTTTGCTTCAACTGTCACACCCAAGGCAAACTTCACATATGACAACTGCATGTTCTATACATATGTTTTGCTTATACTGACAGCACATGTGCTTTGCTTTCCTTTCCTGTGTGACAGTCTTGTCATCTCTCTTCCTCTTTTTGTCAGGAGTTTCCTACTATATTGTACAATATGCACTTAGCAGGCAAATTAGATAACCACAAAATAATATCAAATCTGTAATGCAAGCTTAGAATAGACAACAACATTTTCACATCAGCTGTTTACTTGCTTACAAAACCTAAGAGATAACATCAAAAATAAAAACTTACATGAACTACAATGTGAACACAAATAAAAATCTACTACAGAAATAAACTTTGCTTCAACTATCACACCTAAGGCAGTCTTCATACATGACAACTGCATGTTCCATACACAAATATTCCTTACACTGATGGCATATATATTTTGTTTCGCTGTTATTGAAGTAGGTTTTTGGGATGCTGCACCTGGTTTTTCACTTGCCAGATAGCTAATATTTTTTTGTGTAGTTCCTTGGGCAGAAACATTTTCTTTTTCTTCTACTATCAATGATCTCTTCTGAGTTTCAGTCCCAATCCTCTAAGAAAAATTCTCCATGATATGTTGCACTTGTTATTTTCTTTGTAAGCTATCAAACTATCTATGGATCAAGTAAAACACAACTATTGGCCAATGCTTTGTGTTTTGAGTAACATCTTAGTTGCTGCATAATTCATCAACAATATCTATTCCACCTTTGGTTGTTTTTTTTTGTTTTGTTTTGGTACTGGGTATTGAACTCACGACCTTGTCACAACAAGGTAGGCGCTTGTGCCACTGAGCCTCCCCAGCCCCTCCACCTTTGGTTTTGTGTAGAAAATTTCAATCTCAGGCTACTAATATTTTCCCATCATGGTGCAATGTTGACCTCAGCATTACTAGTTGGTTTTTCTTTACCGTATATGAGGCCAATGTTATATCTTTCTGAAATCCAAAAATTGTAATATACAATTCTCTGTTTTGAAATTGCAACATTTCATTTGGAATTTCTGCTTTGTTCCTGTGTACAGTTCCTGTGCTGGTCAACTAGTGCTCTGTTAGCAAATATAACATCAGATGGAACCTGGTATGCCAATTGTCGCATGACACATTCCGATTAGTTGGGAGATGGGAGCAACAAGTTTGTTCACAACATCATTTGGTTTATTACTGTACAAATAAGGACCTGATGGCTGAGTCCCAGGAGAAATGTCTAAATTGAAAACATAATACATCTTCAGATCTTAAGGGCATAAATTTTAATGCCATATTTATGCTTTTCCATACATCTTTTACATTCTTGTGATTACTATGAGAAATCCCTGCTAAGTACACAGACCTGTGAATGCTTTGAGTTCACCTAGTGAGGTGTCATGATAAATACATTTCTAAATATGGCTATTGGTGCATATAGAGTTTTGTCTTTCAGTCTTTGTGTATGTCATAGTTTGTGTCTGTGTCCCCCCAAAGTTTCATGCAGTCAAGGGGTAGCAGCCTTTTCAGAGGTAGGTGAGTCTAGAGTTTGTGCTTACAATACAAAGGATAGAAAGAGGCTTGTTCTTCCCTTTTTGTGTTTGTTGTTTTTGCTGTTTTCCACTGCCATAAACTGTGGCCCCTCTGCCATGTGCCAGTCTATTTCGGAGCCAGTCAATTATGGACTGAAACCTCTACAAACTGAGCTAAATAAACCTTTTCTCCCTTATCTTGTAGGTGTTGGGTATTTTTTTCAGCAACCAGAAAAGTAACTAAGATTGTATTTCACAGCATCTTGTAGCATTTTGTCTGTTATAATTTCCAACATTGAACGGGAGTGCTGGCATTCTGTCAAAAGTGTTTCACCCCTGCCAAGACCCTCACTATATTTTTTCATCTAGTTTTAATATTGGATGGCTCCATTTGGTCATGTGGCCAATTCTGCAACATTTCAACTACTCAAATATGTACTCACATTGTTGTGTTTTTATTATCTGAATCAAGGAGGTCTGCATTGCCTATGTCTGTATCAGTCAATTCTTGCTTCATTTCACTGTCATAGGAACTTTGGCTCACATGGCCAATGTGAAAGTCATCATCATCATCATTTTTCACCCACACCACTCTTCTGTTATGAAAGCATGTATATTACCATAACAGATCATCTTAATTCTCCATGCATGACTAATCAATGATTCACTTCTTTTTTCTTTTTTTGGTCTTTTTGAGACAAGGTCTCACCATACAGTTCAGGCTGGCCTTGAACTTACTTTGTAGCTTAGGCTGGTCTCCGACTTGCAATGATCCTCCTGCCTCAGCCTCCCAAGTGCTGTGATTACAGGCGTGTGCCACCACACCCAGCAATGATTCACTTTTGACCTCCAAAACTTGCAAATCTAATTTTTCATGTCTATTGTACTGAATTGTGCTACTTCTACCAGAAAAATCAAAAGAAAACTTTTTATTTTTCAGTTTTAATTTTTTTTTCTCTTTTTGAGACAGTCTCCCTATGCAGTTCAGGCTGGCCTTGAGCTCACTTTGTAGCCCAGGCTGGTTCTGTACTCACAACAATCCTCCTGCCTCAGCCTCCAGAGTGCTAGGATTACAGGTGTGTGCCACCATATCTGGCTCAAGAAAACTTTTAAAACAACAAATCCTGCAGGAGTATGGGTCTGCTGGACCCCATGATGCTTGAGTAAACATACACAAAATCAGCTGGAGCATAATTTGGGTAAACATACTATTTTGCCACTTTTGCACACATGCACACCTTGTGGTTTGTCGTACCAAATGGGTAAACACATAGATTGGTTCTTGTATCCATGAGGGAAAGGTACTGAGATATATTCTACTACAAATTTATAGTAGAAAAGTATGGGATGGATCTCCTGGATCCAATATTATGCTGCTACTTTATAAACAAGGTGCTCTGGCTAGATTTACACTAAGACCTAGGCTTCAACACCACAGGGGATAGATAGTCGAGCAGTTTAACAAGGGTGTCTCCCCAAAATGTACACTTTTGGGGTTACACTCGGGACTCCTACTCAGCAATAGCCCTAGAAACGTAAATTCAAAGTTATGTAACTGGGTTCACTAGTGATTTGCTGTGGATAGAACCCAACTATCCAAAATCCCTGCTAAATCTAGTTTATTAAGTTCCAGTATAAGGGGTGTTTGATGTAACTAAGATTTCTGCTAATTATTACAAATTAAACACAAGAATTGTGCGATCAAGGCAGAAAACTCCATTTGTAAAAAATATTTAGTCAAATACTTATCTACATTACAAAGTACTTGTTGATCAATCTTATGCATCACTAGATTTGTGAAAGGTTGGTGTTGTAACTGCTATTTCGCAGGAAAAATATATTTCAACTTTATACGGACGAAATGAAAACAACTCCACAGCACTTGTATGATTTCATTTGCGGGTTTGTGTATGAAAAATAAGTCTAAACATTACTTCAATACCGTTTCTCAGCACATTTACTAATACCTCTAAGGGCAGGCGTCACTTGGAAGCGAATCCACCCCGTTTTCCATGATGGCGAACTGGTTTTGGGGGGGGGGCGGGCAAAAGACCCCGGCTGTGGCGGGGGAAGCAGGATGGCGCCTACTCTCGGGTAGGGGTCAGCTTCTGCGCCTGGAACTCTGAAGCAGGGCTGGCCACCGCAGGAATGTGGTGTTCTCCGGCTGTGTTGGAACCGGGGCACGGGCTTCTCCCGCGGTCCCCTCCCAGGCGCGCCGCTCGGCGGCGGTGGGTCTAGGAGAGCGGTGCGGGCCGGCGGCCTCAGCATCCAGCTCCCGGGGTCTCGGGGGTTGCGCCTGAAGCGGGGGGGGGGGGGGGGACGCCCATCCGCAGGACCCACGCTGAGGGGCGCGGGGCCTCTGCGCAGGCGCCTTGGGCTGACCCGGGACTATTTTTGCGCCTAAGCCAAGGTCACCCTCTAATCCCCCGCCGGGGCCCTGAGGGGGCGTCGCGCACCTGTGGGCGGC